AGCTAGAAAATTTATGACCTATGTATTCCTAAATGTATGCCATTGCCTAGTGTCTGAAAGTTGTCCTTAATGGCTCATGCGCAGTTAATTTTCTATCATTTCATGTGACCATTGTTGCTGGAGAGAAAGAGGAGTTGTCATTATTTATATCCCACATTAATCCAATTACTTAGCTCCGTCTAGGCCCTTTCAGCGGTCCGTTACCCAGTTACGTTGCAAATATTATTATATTATAACTCATATCTTGGTAATCTAGAAGTACTATGTAAAATTAATGCAGATGCGATGATCGGCGCTAGTCGAAGAACGTATCTCAAATAAACGTTGACCCGCGAGCGCTTATTGCGTCTACATTTTCACTTAGATCATTGTTCCCCTAGTAAAGCACCTAGCATATATCCCACGCTGATGTCCGTAATACGGTTTTAGGTTCGGGCCAACGTGAATTCCGTGCTTGCTGACAGCTTCCCTTCTTTAACTTTTCGTACGCAGATCGTCTAGTGACTATGAAAAATTGAACGCTCCTGGCTAGTGTAATGCTTTTGATCAGGAACTGTTCTTTGGGCACGAACAGCCTTTTTCAGACCTGACCTATCTATTTCATACATTTGTCCAGGTTTTTCGTCAGGCGTATGGTGGAGACGTAAAATGTGCGAGCTTGTCGAATAAGTGTTTGTCTTCAAGATCCGTTGAAGGCTACTACCGCTGAATCCCAAGAGTTCAGCGGAATGCGTTCCTCAGGTTAAACCAGCTATTTTTCAACTTGTGTAGAATTCTCAGTTGTACTTGTGAAGTCCGCATCGCCCAATACATATTTGTATCGGTTATTTCATCGGTTCCTTCACCTTATGACCTTAATTGTAAATGGTGTCGAAAATTCAGCTCGTTTCGAACACCAGACAGGCGAATCCAAGCTCGAAGCGAAATTTGTTGATTTCAGTTAACTCATGATAACGCGCTTGTAGGGCAAAAAAGGTGTTTCCAAAAGAGATGTTCAATAATGGTTCGTTAGCGATAACCCATCGAAAAAGGCAGGCCATTGTAAAAACCACCGTTACCAACCGAGTATATAAGGATGTACACATAGGGAATGCCTGTGCTAAATCAAAACCACTTTTCAAATACTTTATGCCCCATATATTCGACGCGCCTTATGGTCGGTTTAGCAATGTAACTCACGATGGTTAGCGATAATCGACAATTAAGAAGTAAGGACTAACATTGAATGATTTTTATAGAGCCGCAGCTGTTCCTGGCAAGCGAGTGTTATGCTCCCAACGCCCGGCGTTGGCCAACGGGCACTGCACACCGTACTAGCGACCGTAAAAGCGACAGCGTTCAGCCCAAATAGCAAAAAACAAAAGAACACAATTGGCTATTTAGTGCGCCGTCTCCCGTTTAGGGAGCAATGTGCGACGCTCACGATACTGGCTTCGCTGTCGGCCGACTTACTCCACCAGTGGAATCGAAAAAAGCATTAGATACAGAAATAAAGCCTCCAGTAACATTTTCAGAGTTCTCTACATGCAAATTACAGGCTACGTGGTCAGTTTGTACGAAGATGGTAAAAAGGCTGCCCCCGAAAGACAAATTGCCGACGAGACGGCACCAATATCGAGTATTCCCCCTATCTAATCCAGCCGAGTGAATAGCAGCTCCGATGTTATTACGGCGACCATCGACGGCCCAGAAAGGATAAAATTAAACGTAAAATATGGGCAGTTTAAACGTATCTATTATATGTGCGATAACGAGCTGGTATTCGTACGAAGCAGGCCTCTATGTAATGAACGTGTCGTCAGCTGACTCGTTATGTAATTTATTAAATAGCTGCAGATATGATATTGACGGATTAGTGGAAAAGCGTTCTTCAAAAGCAAGTTACAAAGATAGATTATTCGAAGGATGTTGATTTTTGGGTAAACCAATTTTTTCATCGAAAAGCCAACAATTCGCAATGAAGGTAAAATCGAAAAATAGGTCACATGAAAATAAGGCGCGTAAGGCGGCAGGGTTCAATTAGACTTAAATGCAATTTAATTTTCAGCCGGGCGTTTATTCATTTACCATTAAGCTTATAAACCTTCAAACGTTGTGACCACGTTTTACTATGTCAATAGTCAATCTGCTGTTGGCTAGCTCAACTTCGTACAGGCAAATCAATAAATAATACCTATAAATCAACGGTGAGCTAGACTGATTCTAATCTAGAGGACAAACCGCTGACAACGGCTTTGGCCGCTTTCAAAGAAGTCGCCATAGTACAATGAATGTACACAAAATAGGTACCACCTATTTTTTTTTAGGCCGCGCTTATAACATAATAACTACCAGTTTAACATATCTATTGTTCATCTAATTAAGCTCTTACATGCGGCTCTATCAATAAATCTCCTCTCGAATTAGTTATTTGATTACCTAGCCATAAGCAGACTACCTTCAAGGACTGCGCACTTCAATTAGACACTGCTGTGTCAAAGAGATAGACGAACGTATTACGGCTGTATCACTTCTGGAATAGTTTTTTTTTTCCTCATCAAGAAGTTACGCCACAAATCCGACGGCGGAACGCTGACCAAATACGCTGCTAACAGAAATGGCAGCAAAACGGTTGGCATCGGTATGTGACGTAAACAAGGGCAATATTATGCCATCAGAACTGCAAAATGATGCAATAATTTATAGATTTTTGAATCATACCCCATTAGTCCTATCATAATGTGTCCATACCTATGGAAGTTATGCCTTTTGCTGCACAGTTTACTTCTGCACCTTAGACGCGATAGGCCTTGCGTTTGGCCACGGGTGTTCTGTCCATCATCGGTATAAGGGACGCTAGCTGGGCCTCTCAAGTATGTTTGTTATTGTTGCTTGTGACAGTTTCTAGATGCTCAATGCATACTTATGAAAGCTGAGCAGGCTCAAAACTATAAAAAAGCAAAGAAAAAAAAGACCTACTTTACGTATCTGTACAGGCCTATCGCAAACTTGCTCCATATATACTATATAATATTCTGAAGTTATTTCAATTTTTAGAAATTTAGAAATCAACTGGCTAACCAGATTTTTATAGACACCTAACTCCGAAGTAGTCTTTTCTATGGCTGTGAAGAATATTCCCCGGGTAACAAGCGACGAGATATAATAACGTGTAATATAGAGCCGCTACACCCCTTTACGGTAAACGTTTTCGTCGTTCACGCAAACTGTGTTGTTATGTCTTGTGCGGGCGAAACTTCATCCTGTAAAAGTAACGCTAGAGTATCATGCGACTACTAATTTGATCCGATGATAGATTTTGCATTTAAAATAAGTTAACACTTCATTGATTAAGGGGTAACTATTATCGCTAAATGTAGCGGACGTAAGTTTATTCGTAAAACTATAACTCTTAGATCTAGCCCTGTAAGCTGGATAATTCGTATGACAGGAGTAAATAGTTTACGCTTACCCGCATAATTAACAGATTAAGAGGGTTAATTATGTTGATCAGACGAATGGTCGTCAGTTTAATTACGGCACACCGTACTGTATATGGCAAAACAGAATCGGTACGACCATTGAAGCTAACCTGTTTCAAATGTAACGGACGCTCTCAGAACAGATGTGGGCCAGCCGGAATCTACCGTACATTTCTGTCCCAGTTCAGATATGAATAAAATCGTTGGGTCAGCTGAAAGCCTTTTATGTCACCGGAAACAAATATTGATACTACTAAACACTCGTTCCAAGGAATACTGTTCTGCTTCTGTTGCAACGAACGTACCTGGTATGAAAATTGCACGAGCAATTTTCTGGAACGCTTTACTTTACTTTACAAGGCTACATATTGTCCTTTTTGAAGAAAGAAGTCCATTTCCCGAGCATCTATTTCTATAATAAAAAAAAAACCCGTTCGAGTGCAGCCAGGACCTGTCATCAATAGAGTGCTAGCGCTAGTACGCACATCCCGATTTCTAGAATAGGATAGAAAGGACGTTCATATTCAACTACGGGTAAAATCTATTTTAAACTATTTTACGTACGAGAATGTGTCTTTCTCAAAAAGTGTTCATGTCCGCTTGGAACTTTATTAAGGCACGGATAGGTACTTTGAAACCCTTGAACTTTTACTTTTGCGTAATCGTCCCTTGAAACGTCATTTAGTTAACCACTTAAACTAGAGCATAATGAAACGCCTATTTTCTTAAATACTACAATTAATACAAATATTGAAGATATCATTTGTTCACAGACAGGGTTGATTGACCGACACTTTCATATATATATATATATATAGTTAAAAAATTAAATATAAAAGATCAAAATAACATGCAAGAAAATTAATTTAACAAAACATCTAGCAATCAAAAGCCTACGAGCTGCGGATATTCATAGTATTCAACACCTTCAACACTGAATACTTTTGAACGATAAGATTTCTCAGACTGAATACCATTCATTCGTTGATGCACCTCAAGTATATTACGTGGTGCTCAAGCCTCTCACGCAAACCATCTACCTGTTCGTGCATATCTTTGCTTTCTGTAAACCAACAGGCGCTATGACTAACGCTCTCGAGTTATTTTGTTGGGACATTGTCATCCGGCTACATTGTGCGTATACGACACGAGGAACGCCGACCGCGAATAGGCCGAAGGAGCATCAAGCCTTCGTTGTTGAGTTACAGCGGATGTTAGTCGAGTGAGACCATAGAGCCGCGACTAGTATGTGTTGTCGCCATATGGGGCCGTTTGTCGCGACGTGGCAGCTTTGTTAGAGTTTTAGGGAGGGAAAAGCGAGGGATGCTTGGTCTGTTGACTTGCTTTCGGGCCTATTTGGCTACCCGACTCGCGCAGCGGGATTAGAGAGAAGTTCGAGCGTGCTCACAAGAACTGCAGTAGTAGCATAGCAATATAATGCGAATGGACTTGGTACTCTTGTGCAGTACGACTCCTCCCGCCCGTCGCTGGCCGCCTTGGACAGAGAACAGGCAGATTCTTTCCAGCCGCACATGGAATCCCCGGCGTTCAACTGCCCAGCCATTGTAGACCAATAACATACCGAACAATCTGTGATTCTGACAGCACCGCCACTTGGAATATCTTTGTTAGAAGGCTGGCTTGCTTAGCGTGCTAGAGGCTATCTGCGGTCCGTACTGCCCACGAATTGCGCACTCTTGTTGGCGGCGGTACGGCTTCGGGCTAACAGTTGGCATACTGCGACCCACGCTGCATTATCCGCGCCAGCGTAGACGAGAAGTCAGGGTTAGTTAGTCTCGCTGCTGAGGCTGCCTGAAAAAGGTTAGTCCTGTCAGATGGCAGCTGTCCATGCTGAGAAAAGAGGACAAGGAAAGCTTGCCTCCAACGCGCTGCATCCCACAAAGTACAACAATGAGAGATAACCGTGGTGATGTACTCTCAAGATGCTACTGACGAAGAAAGCAGTTGCCCGTGTGATCCTGCGACAGCGCCGTGCCTGCCGCGTAGTGAATGCTCGTTAATTTGACGGGAATAGGAAACCACTCCAACGACGTACGATGTCACGAACTATACGACGCATTAATTACACTGCGTACGTTATCCACACCCCCTTTTCTTGTGTGTGAGCGGTTGGCCAAAATGCCATGTGGCCATGTGGAGCGCCTTCGTGATTCAAGGTAAGGCCTTCACCACCCTCAGAAAAATGGTCGGTTTGGGGTAACGGCCCAAGCAGATATATGCTATACTTGATAGAGGAACATGTAAACTCTTTATATCTCTCAAACCCTTTGCATCCTTTCAAACCCATGTCATGCAGACAAGTTCGAAAGGGTGCAAGGCCGAACGGATGCTGGGGAGCTTAAGAAATGTCAAGTATCAAGCCACTGTTCCGGTTTTACGCCTGTTTTGATTAGCTGGATAAAAGGCGTGACGTCAATTGCGTAGAAATTGCAATCGTGCGAAGCCGGTGATAGTAAAATTGCAAGGAATTTTGAATCTCTAATATTTGTTGAAGTTTTATTGACGTTATAAATGTTCAGCAGAAACGGGACATACTTGTTAATCCAATTAAATTATAACCAAATGCTGAGTTTGTGCCTTATGCGACCGTTGCATGCAGCCAGAGAAACAGACGAAGAATAACTTCCGTTGTTGACGAAATTCGATAGAAGTACTGACATTAATCACAGTGTTCTTCATCCAAATTCTGTAAACATCGCACACCTTCCGGACTCTTTCTGGGTTGTAGAGCAAAGACACCTTTAAAACTCTCTGAAAAACTGAATGGTCCTTCTCTGATCCTCTATAGAAAAGTATACCACAACTATCAACGGCTAAACAAGCGATTGTTGCAAAGCTAAATGAAATTAATTTTTCGAAGTGTTGTTGGCACTAATCGTGTCAGTCGATGACTGCTACCTCTCTTGCGCGCAATACCCTTCTCTTCGCATCCACTCTGTCTTCCGATTGACTCGTCCTCTCCATTGTGAACCTCAGTGTCACACAAGACATGTGTATCCTTCCAAGCCATATCAAGCCGCCTCAGGCTCTCTCATACTATCATCTATCGCAGCTCTAAGGTAAGAGGAACTTGATGAACATTGAAGCACATTGTACTTTTTCGCTATAGGCCTATCGGTCGGTATGTCGGGGATTCGTTTGGTCGTCGCCTCAAGGGTCCCCTCTGTTCGTGCCTAATTCAGCTGCCTTTCCCCGTCTACCCTCAATTCCCAGTCAGCCGCTCGCCCTAGCACAATGAGTCCAGTTAAGTGGTAGCGCGATGTATGGATGTTCAATCAGCTCGGGTCTCCATCTTCACGGACCACTGAACGCTGAGGGTTCTGAGCGGATGGACCGCGCCCCACCTATAACACCCTGTACCCCCTCATCTGCAGCCCCTCTAGGCCCCATTTAGATCCCAAATCAGCCGTCAAACTCCATTTCGTCAGGGCCAACTACAGGCTCATCGTACTGCTTCTGACCGGGCCTTGGCCGATTCCGCGAGACCGCTCGCCTAAGATCAGGTGGTCTCCTCATTTCGTCCGCGAGCTCGCACAGCTACGTAAAACTGTCCAACAAGCCGATGCTGGCGAAGCCTAGCAAAGTCTTCCTGTGTCAAACTACATGACGGTGGACTTGAAGAATATCATATACTGTTCATTTTCGGAGATCTCTGCCTCTTTCAACAGCTGATCGCTCTCTCGAGTGTCTACTAGCAGCTCGTTTGAAAAGCGTCTAATAAACCGCGCAGGTCAAAATATCCTTTTCAACTGACACCTGAATGCGTATAAGAATTGAGGACGGGTTTTAGCGCTTAATCTGAACGAATGTTTAAGTGCGGTACCGACCGTACGGCTCCAATTATTTAGTTGGTCTACTGATAACATATGGTTTCTCAAGGCTTACAGGCGCGAAGAAGTTATTGTGGATGTAACTGCTAAATCTCAGTTGAAGCAGACAATATATACTAGTTTATGACTGACACTAGTCAATCACCAATTGATTGAAAAGTAGATGGTATCGTATAACGTTGCATTCCTACACTTTTTAGTTAAAAAAATAATTGCAGGCAGCATTGACAACGACATCTCGATTGCGTCGTTCCTCGTTGCGTCGATTGCTCGGAGGTTCCACCAGTTTATTTTATGCATACTGAATTCACCGGTATACGTGGAGCGATTCCCATTTAAAATCCTCTCTAGACACAGATAAAAAAAATTTAAGTTCCTCTTGTAGTTTTCTAGTCGTTTAATTGCTCTCTCCTGTGCACTGCACCTTATTTGGTTTATGTTGCGGCGAACCATCGGAAAAGCCAGCATCTACTTGGACTGAGTTCGCCCTTACCACCAAATGAATCATTTCAGGGATTCCGTTTTTAAATCGTCACCATTGCGACGAAAGGTTAGGAAAAAGCTTCTTTTCGACAGCAGCATCTAATCCTCACCTTCTCTAGCAATAGATTCCTTCAACGTCTGCGCGGGATTCTTCGTCATGGCGTTTACCTAGTCAATCGATAAACTTTTGCCGGTTTGCCGGATAAACCGAGATCGCGACAATTCGAACAGACTCACCGACAACTGCTTTAATCCCTTCGCTTCATCTGTCCACCATCTTGAACTCCCTATCCGGACGGCGTAACTTTCATTTGGGCTTAGCTCAGTCCACACAACGAGTAGAATTACTTTTTCACGACCAATCGACGAAGAATGACCTGACACTTGCAGCCGTCTCAACAAACATTCGGAACGAAGCCAACACATCGTTCAAGGAAAGATTACCTGTGATTGGTTCAACGAGCAATTTCCAGCTGTCGTTGGTACGAACGGGCTGTTCGAGGAGAGAAAGCATGTGAGTCAGCATTCATCGAGGTTAAGTGGATGCTTCAAGCGGCCATTTAGCTCTCAAGTCACAACGGGAGCGTGAAAGCAAGGAAAAATATCTTGAAATATGGCTGCGCCCGGGGTTATCGAATCGACCCAAGTTCAATCCGCGTATTCTGTGAATATTAGAATGCAACCAACGTATAACCGAAGTATCTCTTTTAATGCTCTACAAAAATTGTGCATATGTGACGCCTAACCGAAGTCGTAAGTGGACGAGTCCGTAGTGTTGCTGCTGCCGTTGTTGCGGTTGGTACCGTCTTCAACTTTCTGCCAACCATTTGAGTTCCCGAAGCGTCTGCGAAGGTAAAAACACAGGGTTACGTACATAGGTCTTGATACAGTTGGGATGCGCGTCCATGTGTCCCTTCCCGGGTTGGCATATGACGTCGCTTACGACGATTGGTCGTACGTCTTGAAGCAAGCGAAGGACGAAAGGGTGCAAAGGTTCGTGCAGATCCAGCGGTAGCAGGAAGGCACCATCCCCAATACTAATAAAAAATGGCAACATACTGAGAATGTCCGCATTCTATTAGAGTTGGTTTTTCCCGAATACAATCAGACTAGAACAGGGGCGTCCTGTATTTTCCTGTCTATTCTCGCCCTTCTGTCCCTGACTATCTCTCTGCTACAACTTCCGCTTTCCGCTCCGGCTGCCGTTCCCGTCCAGTGTTTACCTCGAAAGCCGTGTTGTTGATGACGACAACATAGAATGAACTGCTAATATTAGAACCTCCCATTAGCCTAAAAACTGTCATCCAAACTGAATTCGCTCTCCGATCCCTATATATAGTATAGCGGCCTAAAACAATGCGTAGGAGCGAAACAAATTCAGGATTACGTGTATCTACCCATACAGACTTTAGAGTGACGTTTTCTAAACTGACGTAGGAGTTGTTGTTAGTATTATTTTTAGCTATTCTGTGTATTGCGTGAAACAACTGTGGTTATCCAGTATTACTATTAGCCAACACAAATATTTGTAGGGTTTCTTTTTTGCTAATGTAGACGTACATCGTAGTGCATGTTGATCGTAGCTATACCATCCTTGACATTAGGTCTGTTTACATTGCTCTTGATGAAGTACTTAACCTTTCGATGACGGTCGCTCTGTTCTCTGTCCCAGATGAAACTGCTCATCTCTCGCATATGGATTACTGTGTGTTCTTGCTAAAAAAAGGTCAGGCTGCTTCTTATTTGAGCTTAGACACGCGGAAATAGTAATACAATTTTCGTGACACCAAGATATCGTCTAGCTTGGTTAGGTAGATGTTCCGTGATCCGAGTAGGCAAGATGCAACGTAATGGGAAACGAATACTTTGCGATGGAGAAACAATACGATTTGATAAAAAACCTAATTAAAATAGTTGCGGAACAGCGGTAGCAAGACCGGCCTGGAAGGTTATACCTTGTACTTGCTGTATTTACCCAACCTTCTCGTTTTTATCACCCTATTTTCCAGAGTATCCCAGACACCTCTTGCTGTATCCGCTTAATTATCCAGAATAGACTTCTAAAACAGGTTAAACGCAATTGACAGACGTTTTCCGGAGGCATGACTGCTCTTTTTATTTAAGAAAGATGTTCCATGTCGAGAGGGAATCATTTAGAGTTCTTCCACCAAAGAGATCGGCCTTACTTTTAAAAAAATCGATATTTTTGTTGTATCCAGTTGGCACTAATGCCACTGGGCTGTTGAGCTTTTATGCATCGCTTATCACATTCTTTGACACATTCAGATTGGAAGCGACTCTGATACATAAACATAACATACAGATGCCTTACTTCGTATTTTTGCAGGGCAGCTGATGGGAGGTTGTAAGACCCGATTTAGCCTAATCTAATTTGGGAATCTTAATTGTGCCAACAATTCTTAAAAATCCGTATTTTTTTTGCATTAAAGAAACACCTATAACCCTATAGACGTAGAATAAACGTAGATACCGTTAGGCACTGTGGATGTTCCTTAGCGGCGCAAATAGGTAATTAAAAACATGCCACAATATCTTATATTTATTAGAAGCTATTATGGGTCAAAGGTGCTGTAAATCCACGTGTGTAACGCTATCCAGTAAGAACGGAAGGGCACTTAGGCATAATTTCTTAGTCAAAAAGCTTCATATTTTAAAGTGCGTATAGCCTTGAAGATGTTTCTAAGCTTCTGTTCGGAATCTTATTGAAATCCCAACAGAAAATCACTGAAAAACCTGAACATTGGACCAAGCCTAGTTGAATGATCCTAAAAAAAATACTCTATACAAATAAAAGACGAATCAAGAGAACCGAGCCCTTTATT